CACCTGCAGGACCATCTGCAACAAATACCTGTGTGAGAAGCCTCAGAAGGGATCCGCCGCTTGCACGCCTCTGACTGTGACTACGGTGTGTGGCCCAGGCGGTGGATCATTTTCCCTCTGAGACACATGACACTTATCTGCAGATCCAACCCATTCACACAGCAATTGTCAGTGACCTTGTCCAGGCATTTCCTCAGTCTCCCCTCCCCCAGTGATCAATCTGCTGCAGGCAGGAGGAAGCATTTCCTCAGTCTCCCCTCCCCCAGTGATCAGTCTGCTGTACGCAGGAGGAAGCATTTCCTCAGTCTCCCCTCCCCCAGTGATCAGTCTGCTGTACGCAGGAGGAAGCATTTCCTCAGTCTCCCCTCCCCCAGTGATCAGTCTGCTGTACGCAGGAGGAAGCATTTCCTCAGTCTCCCCTCCCCCAGTGATCAGTCTGCTGTACGCAGGAGGAAGCATTTCCTCAGTCTCCCCTCCCCCAGTGATCAGTCTGCTGTACGCAGGAGGAAGCATTTCCTCAGTCTCCCCTCCCCCAGTGATCAGTCTGCTGTACGCAGGAGGAAGCATTTCCTCAGTCTCCCCTCCCCCAGTGATCAGTCTGCTGTACGCAGGAGGAAGCATTTCCTCAGTCTCCCCTCCCCCAGTGATCAGTCTGCTGTACGCAGGAGGAAGCATTTCCTCAGTCTCCCCTCCCCCAGTGATCAGTCTGCTGTACGCAGGAGGAAGCATTTCCTCAGTCTCCCCTCCCCCAGTGATCAGTCTGCTGTACGCAGGAGGAAGCATTTCCTCAGTCTCCCCTCCCCCAGTGATCAGTCTGCTGTACGCAGGAGGAAGCATTTCCTCAGTCTCCCCTCCCCCAGTGATCAGTCTGCTGTACGCAGGAGGAAGCATTTCCTCAGTCTCCCCTCCCCCAGTGATCAGTCTGCTGTACGCAGGAGGAAGCATTTCCTCAGTCTCCCCTCCCCCAGTGATCAGTCTGCTGTACGCAGGAGGAAGCATTTCCTCAGTCTCCCCTCCCCCAGTGATCAGTCTGCTGTACGCAGGAGGAAGCATTTCCTCAGTCTCCCCTCCCCCAGTCATCAGTCTGCTGCAGGCAGGAGACTGGTCCTTTGTGCCGTCTTTAGTCTGTGTGTACAAACCCTGAAACAAAGACAATTACAGGACAGGCAGCTCGTTCCACATTTCCTGTTTTGTGATTTAATTTTTGTTTTTGCCGCACGAGGACAAAGTACATCACAGGAAGGCGGTGCCAGTGGAAGGTTTGGCAATGGTGGATGGGAGGAGTCTCAGCACCCCATTGACTATGAGATTGGGAGCTCGGTGTCTCGATGTTCCGGTGAGAAGACACTGCCATGGGTTGGTCCAAGAATAAAGCGTGCGTTCAGCGGAAGACCAAAGTTTAGTTTTGGTTCCAGTGGTGGTGCCGGTCCCGGTTCTTCATCACCCTGGTGGGTCGGTATCGGCTCGATATTCTGTGTGTAAAAAAAATCTGATACCGAAATCCTATAAAAAGTACCCATGTGACTCCTGAGGACCTATCGGCTGCGCCTGGCCGTCTCCGAGCTCTCCGCCCCCCTTTTCCTTCCAGGAACGTTGAGCGATGCTTCTATGGCGGCACGCACGGTGGCCGAGGAGTCTAAGCGGGTCCGGGCCTCCTGAATGGAGCAATTCCGCAACAGGCCCACGATGGCCACGGGAAGAACCTGCCGGGAGGAGCCAGAATTTTACGTTATCTCCGATCTGACGTTTCCGCAGATTATCAACCAGAACGTATCCACGGCGCCCCGGAGGACACGGCTTCCTGGACTGGCACCGCCTTGAAACGCAAAGCAACGCATGGCTCGGCAATCGAGCAAGGCATCACTATGCTTCAGCCAAGGCCGCCCCCCCAACCTGGTCCAGTTACCTGTATTCT